ATTGATTTTACAAATGTATAAAAATTCAAACCAAATAGTAAATAACTAGATATTCTTATATTAGTCTATACCTTACACTAATTAGGAAAATAGCTAGTACCGAGTGTACTTTTGAGTTAGAAACTATACTACTCAAATAAACTAAGTTTCAAATAGGACATTGCAATGTAATTACTCTACAGTTTCTAATAAAGTCAGGCAGGGGCGTGTCTACACGCGTGGTTTTCGTCGGTACATTTATTCTAGAAATCTTTAAATCTTATCAATTCAAATCAATCAATCGATTCTATAATTTATCACACACGTTCCTACTTGACAAAAGAATCTTACTAACTTTCACAGATCCGATTGATTTGAAATTTGGTGTACTGTTACTTCGGTGGTATTTCCAAGACATAGCATGCTACAGCATCTGCGCTTTTAGCAGATGCTGTAGCATCAAATAGTCTGCGGGATGCTCAATTCCTCAGCACTTACAGCAGATATAGCGTGCTTGGGCTCATAAGAATATTCTCAATAAGAGTTATCTATTACAATATTAATGTCCGCGAATAACTTAAAAAGAATAATAAAATAATAATAATAATACAAAAAATTTTAACCAACCCCGACACAAAAAATTCTCTAAAAGTAAAAAAATAAAATTTCCCTTTTGGCATTTTAACTTTATTAAAAGTACCCATTAATATTTTGATAATGAGCATTGCCGCGTCGTGGAACCGCAAAGTAAATAAAATTAAAACCAGCATACAAATAAAATAGAAGATTTTAAATAAACCTATGTTTTTGGATTATATCGCGGATTTATTTTGATTGGAGAGATCAGTCTCTCCCATGACCATGACTGCTGTAAAGCTTTCGAAAGGTCGGAAACTAAAAGTCAAAATAACTCCGCGAAATAATCCGGAAAGATAGTTTTATTTAAAATGTCAAATATTCGCGTAAATCTAAGAAAGTCATAAAATAGAAGATTGATAATGATAAAGTATTAGGGTAACGCCAAGAGTGGGATTTCATTTTTTTTATTTTTTAAAGGTTTTTTGTGTCGCGGCCCGGGGGGTTACTTGAACTATTTAATTTTTATTATTTTATTAATTAATTGAATTGTGTTCATAAATATAAGCAACTATTTACATCTATAATTGTTCTGAAATATTATTTAGGTATATAATATATATTTCGTATTCTCTCTTCTTACAGAAGAGGTTTTATTACCATTATACGTGCTTCAGCCAGGCGTAGTGGTGATGGAATTGATGGAATGAGTTAATGAGCTAGACAAAAATTTGTGTGTAATTCGGCATGTATTGACAATAATAGCTTTCTGCATTATATTTATAGTGGTTTTGGGAATGTTTAACTGCTATTTTGTAAAGTTTTAGGTATTATTTCAGTAGTAGATACGACTATTGGTACTATATGAACCCCATAAATGTGTACCAACATATGAACGGCCTCCGCTTTCCATTGAGTCCTTATTTCTATTGCAAATTCCTGCTATTTGGAGATTTTTTTCATTTATGGTCGATTTTGTGAGTATTTAGGACAGCTATATCAATATATAAACGGTATCCGTATGGTTATTGTAAAACGTTATATCTGGCTTATTATAATGAATTGTTTTGTCTGTGTGGGTAGTACGGTCCCAGTATAACTTATAATAAATGTTTTCATATATGCATTTAGTTAATATTTGTAATAAGGTACTTTGTTAGGTATTATAAATGTATGTACTATGTGCTGATGTAAGACATACTTGATCAAGCCTATAATCGGTTTGAACTAAAACTATCTGTTTCTGATGCGCTATTACAATTGTCTACATGTGTATGTTTCATGTATTATTTCTTTTGTACAAATGAGTAACAATATACTTCCTGTAATTGCGAGTAGGAATTACTTGATCCTGTATAGCAATTAGCAAGCATAAAAGCCTCTGTTTGTGGGAAGAGATGCTGAGCCTCAAGTCATTATGGTGTCTCCCATGCAGAGACTTTTCGCTCCATCTTGGTATCTATTTATTGTTGCGGTTGTGTTAGTGATTAATTAGGTGGTAAATTTGTATCCTGGAGATTAAGAGGTGTATCGCGTTCCATATCTATGTTTGATGCTTGTTTGTGAAGGAATAAATGTTGTGATTTATTGTAAAATTTATTATCATTATTATAATAGAAAATACTTTTGTGATGTCATAAAAAATATAAAATAAAATAGACATAAAATACTTCTTTAGTTGATGTATCTAGATGATAGTCTATATTAAATTATGCTTTAAGATATTTGTTTTGTGATATTTGTATTCATATTAAATTAGAATTAGCTGCACTTCCTCAAATTTCTATTAAATATTCTATTTATGGTTTAAAAGTGAATTGTAAATGATGTCACGTATTTGAACGGTATACAAGTTATAGATAAGTTTGATAATTTAAGAATGTACTTAATCTATGTGAGCTTACCAAGTTAACTTGAAATCTAACGTAAGGCCGAGCAAGATATTTTTTTGTGTGCTTGTCAAATCTGTTTATTATTCAATTTGATAAAGTGTTAGGTCAAAAATAAAACACACAATAATACACACAGAAGAAAATATTTTATTTCTCAAAGTTGGACAATTTCTAAAATACATTTTAAATATTATTACAATTAAGCGGTTAAAACTATGAATATTCCTGTTTGATTTTTCCACCTCCTGCAAACAAGCTTCAAATGAATTAAGACTTTAAGATTAAACTATCTGATGAAGAAGAACTGAAGGAAAAATGAAAAATAAGAAAATTAAAGAAAGGTTAATAAAGAAGGTAAATGAAATAATAACAATTAAGAGAACGTATAAGTAACAAATCATACTATTGTGAATTATTGTAAATGAAAATTTAATAAAAAGTTAACTATGCGAGTTTGCTTCAGGGAGGTCTGGGTTTGAAACATAGGATTATTCAGTAAATACTGACTTATTATCTAACATTTATTTTTAATTGTTAAAGAGATCTTAAGATAGTAAGCTGTAGGTAGTAGGTAGGTTAATAAAATTTAAGTTACAATTTTTAAATTTATAAAACAAAATAGCACGTATTTCCATGTGGTCCAGGAAGTTGACAGGTATTTAATTAAATATAAATATAATTTACTCTCAAAACAGTCTCGTGACAGGCATAGCTAAGAATATATAAGGTTTTATAATATCCAATAATAACATATAAAATATGATAAAGAATAAAATAGTCAAGACAAATTCGTTCTAATATTACCATATAATAGACAAGCAAGCTAAGTGCTTTTACATTTTTGAAAGTACCCTAAGATAAATACTGACATAATTTCCTACACAAATATGTACGTCAATAATTAAAACACGACATTTATTTTATCTATTCTTAACATGCAATATTTCTACTATTTAATATTAAAATGCAATAAAATGTTTCAGCAAAATGAAACAAAAATCACGTTATACAATAAAAAAATATTTTTTCTTAACTCTCGCATTATATGCCGCCACTATACCATATCCATATCAAAATAGTTATCGATTTTTTTTATTATTATTCAACATTCTTATAAAAGTTTGTCCTATCCAGAGTGAAAAAATATCACTTTAAATCTCATCTTTTCTTCCTTTCATTATTAGTTTTGTTAGTACATGACAATTAGAAAATTTATGAATATATCGTATCTGTTCATTATAAAAATATTTATTCAGATAGTGATATAAAAAGGACCAAGAAGTTCTTTAAAAAGTCTCGGTTATTATAAAACAGAAAACCAGTGGACGGAAAAGTTACAGAAACAAAAATAAAATGATTGTAATATTTTCAAAAATATTAGTTTTATAGTCATAAACGTTAAATCGAATAGGATTTTTCTATTTTAAATACCATTTATCCTTACCATTCTATAAACATGCATCTGAAACTACTTTCTTTTACTGCAAAAATATTATTTAGATTTTACACCCCTCTTGGAAAAATATACCCTCTGTTAAATTCATACTTTATCTAAAATGTTGCCGTACAAAATCTTGTTGATTCCTGATTTGTTAACTACTATGTTCCCTTCTTTGCCCATTAGTACTCGATCAGGAAAAATAATAAACATAATATTAATTTGCGCGTTTCTTAAGCATATAAAAAGAAAATAATACGATCTAATAAAAATGACTATTTGCACTAAAACAATCACAATATTTATTACTAACACCGCAAATGCTTAGAAGTCCTTAGCTAAAGATATGGTGGTAATACATAGATATATCGAATACTCTAACAGGTATATAATTTTATTAATTCTCTTATTAGTAGATAGTAAGATAAGGTATACAATATAGTTTTTCGTAAAACAAAGTGAATGGCCAGATCCAAGAATGTAAATCATCTCGCAAACACTTTCAAGTAAACGCAACAGTTTGTGCGCAGACATCATAATCTGATGTCATTTTAATAAGTATCAGTAAAAAATATCTTTCCAATATATTGTTATGAATAAAAATACGTAAATATTTATAAAAGGAGAAAAATGTATAAGTATATTTTATTTTTATTTTCGCATTAATGGCGAAAACAATATCTACCGCAAAAAACTACGAGTATTGTTTGAAATAGGAAAGTAGATATATAATATTGACTAAATTATTATTTTTCTTCTAATCTACTTCTACGAAACATTTATAAGTTTAAATATTAACTGTAGATTTGTGAGAATAAAAGGTTATAAAATGCATTATATGAGTCGTTGCATCTTCCTCGAGTTAGCCGTTAAGTTAGTAGTAAGTATATGCACATATAATGTTTCGTTTTATCAATTTTGTATTACTTTCAACGTAAGTTCAACTTGGTAAAATTAGACTAAAAATATTTCCAATTATTTTGATGCTGAAATTATTTATTTAGATTAGCTGTTCATCCTCATCTGCAAAGTTATATGTGCCGGCTCATGATGGTCTATACTCGAGTAGATGGAAGTTCGAAACTTCTTTCGAGGCTTTGGCTTTCCAAAACTCACAATTCTTGAGTCTCGCGTATAGCGGAAGTGCCTCTCTGTGGGCTACTTGTATTGACAGTCTGATGCATTATGTGAACCTTAACTTCGCCAGTGCCACTCTTGTACTCCATAGCTCGCCTGTGTCGCCCAGTGAAGGAACTAGACAATGTGCTTTTACAAAAGCAATAGTTAAACAGATGAGCGAATGCTCGTCTGAAACTCCTGTTAACCGTTCCGTACATAAAGCTGGTTATGATCGAGCGCAGCAAGCCGATCCAGACAACGCTGTAGTACTTATTATCCGAGGTCCCCGGGAACTCATAGACGACGATGATGTAAGGTGTCCAGCTTATAACGTAAAGTAAGAAAGCCACAATGTTCGAAGCATTCATTGATCTGTCGCGTTCAAACATTTGAGATCGTTTGTAGTGCCCATGTTGCCGAGCGCGTCTCATTATTCGCGATGTTGTAGAAAACATGCATATGATCGTCAAAAGAGCCGGTACAGCATGAAACACAACCATTGTGGTAATCCGAAAATAGAAATTACCATAATGTTCGCGCTCACAGTAATCGTAGTCTAAACCCAAGAAAACTCCGCCTGCAGCTAGTAGAACGCTTAAGAGGAATATTGAGAATGAAATCAGCCCAATTCTCATAGAAATAAAGACTTCATATTCATCAGCTGACCGGCAGAACCTGTAATAGTTGTCGGCTGCCACTAGCTGTAAAAAAAGTTGAAATAAGTACATAATGAAAATATTTTTGTCTCCTTGTTTAAAATACAATATCTTACCAGAAAATAGAGGCTGTAGCAATAAGTCGAAGTTATAGCTAAGAAGTGTAGACTTTTGCAAACGTAGAGGTTATCCCATTGTCCAGAGAGCAGGATGACAGTGCAGACCGGCATTATGCATGTTGTAATGATCATATCGGCCATACCAACCAAGGCGAGGAATACGTTTCCTTAAAAAAAAAGATCATTTAAGTACTTAAAGTCAATTAAATTATATAAAACTAGCGAGTCATCCTAGCTATGTTTTAACGTTTAATATAGATATCTCTGAGATGAGATATTTTCACGTAGTAAAAAGTATTCTATATGTTGACCCGGATAACCAGCTATCATCATACCAAATTTCATCAAAATCTGTCCAGTGGTTTTCTCGTGATGCGGTCACAGATAGACGACAGACAAAAATTCTAAAAACTATAGATTCGGCCTCTGTATCGATAATAAAAACTATTTCAATAAGATTAACCAAAAAAATATTTAATGTACAGATTCGACTCAGTAAAAATTTTATTATACATGTGTATAGATTAAAATATATTGTGATTCATAGCACATTTTGTAAGATTTCAATTTAAATTATTCATCCGTCTATTACGAGTAATATATTTATCTAAGCTGGGATATAGGCCAATTCCTTCGATTGGACTTTCAAGGTAAAGGAAATATTATCTCTTAATATTTTGTTTTTTCTTCCTCGGGTGATGCCTAAGCGCCGACTCCGATCAAGTATGTGATTCTTTTTTTATTGAGTTCGCAATCGCAATTAATAATTTATTTATTTAGATAACAATTAATACAAAGCGTATTAATAAAATACTTACAGAAATACTAAAACTTTTAATTAGCGCGCAATAACAATAAATAGATGGACTAACAAATGCAACGTAAAATAACAAGTTAATCGGCATTCAAACCAAATCAATTTTTAAGCGTTGTTATAAAGTGTATTTTTTCGAAAAAAATACCTTTATTTTATTTAAAGAGAAGCGCATTTTTTTACTACTTTGTATAAAAGCTTAAAATTGAAGTTGCGGGACCGCTAGTAATAGGAAGTCATCGAAATATCGGATATAAAGTTATTGCTGCGCTCGTTTTTAAATTAAAAAAATCAACGCTTCGTCCATGGTGTATTCTAATATATTTTAGTAATAAAAAATTGGCATTGATAGTAATCGGTATAGTCGCGAAAGCGAAAATATTAGAAAAATTATACATAATATGTAAATAATACAATTACGCATAATATACAAATTATATATATACTTTATTGAAGTTCATCGCTAAATTGCTTGATCATTGTAAGTCGCTTTGCTACATACATACTACAATACAATTTTAAGACTTTCACCTACTATGCTATTTCTATATTATATAATACTTACATATATAATGTAAAATAATTATTAAATACAAAAAATGTCTTACCAATTTGCTTCAGAGTATGTTCTATAAAGAACGAAGCTACAAAGAAGCCGTTCATAGTAGACCCGAATGATGAACAAAACAGCATGAATAATAGCCGAGCAATTTTCGGCCACTCAGAGCTAAATGTCACCGGCGACATCCGAGGAATGCCGCCGGTAACGTTAAGAGCTCCCACCCCAGACATGGGGGGAAAGTTGCCTGTTGAAGTTTGAAAAATTAATACAGCCTCGATCGACACCTTCTGCAGTGGCAATGCCTATCGGCTTCGTAATAGTTGTAATTGCCCCAATTCAATTCCTCTTTCAATCGCGCGTAAATGACGGAAAAAACAATGACCATTAAAAGTAGTAATCCCATTTTAAGTTAAAAGTTGTGGTGCAAATTTTTTCTTTGGTATTTATAAGTCCGCCAACTCCTTTAAAGCGCACTTAGAAACTTTTCGCGCGTTTTCTTTTTTTCGAGTTCAATTTCGCACAGCACTTTTTTTATTACTTTATAATTAATTATTCTTGACAATTTAAATCGTGAAAATTTTTTAAAAGAAATATTTTACAGGAGAAAAGTCTAAAAAGTTCTAAATTAAGTCCGTTTTAATGGAGAAATAAATGATTTCACACTTGTTCACACTTGTTTAAAACAAAATACAGACTAGTACTATGGAGAGCCGAGCCGAGACTTGTCTCGGCAAACCAGCGAGTGCGTCTGACTGCAACTGGCTGCTGCGTTTTTTGAAATGACGTTGGTTACAAGCTGGCGCACCGTTGTCCGTCCGGCGCACCGCTGTGAACTTGCATGCAATACAACTACGGGATACTGTATGAAGTGTGAAGCTGTCATTAAATACCCCGCACTACTGACGAACTGCGAGGGGTAATAATTTCAGACTTAAAACCCCTACCTTAGCCGTACTATCAGTTAATTATATGGAAAGTCCTCAAATAAATCAATATCAGTTATTTAATAGTCAATATGTACCTAATAACTGTTTATTACTTAGTTTATTAATTGTTTACGTATCCTACGTACAATGTATAGATATTATTTTATACCTAGACTTGCTTCTCCATGCATTCTTTCATCCCTCACCCTCTTAAGGGATGATTTTCGGGATAAAAACTATTTCACTTACTCACTTTTCATATCATGGAATTTAAAAAAATCTTATTTTAGTAAAAAAAATAACTGACTTCAAAAAAGGAGAAGGTTCTATGTTCGTCTGTATGTTTTTTCTTTCATTTTCTTCTATACAAAGCTTGTCCTGACAATAACATTACACAAAAAAAGAATTATCCAATTTGATGCAGTCGATCGGAAGTTATGCGCGTGCATACATTTCGTTAATTCATTCTTATTTATATAGAGATAGAGAAGAGATAGAGATAGAGAAGATAATAATTGATTCGCTTTACGAGATTTAATAACTTAGGTTACATAGTTTACTTTAAAATATCGCTTTAGGTACATGCATAATAATGATATATATACATACATATGCATAATAAATAACAAATTGTGATTTTGTTTTAATAAGAGCATATTTATTGGACAAGAGTTTATCCGTACTAATATAATAAAGAGGCAGAGTTTGTTTATTTGTTTGTTTGCTTTTTTTGTATGAACGCGCTACTAATACGAATTTAAAAATTATTATGAATTATATAGCCCTTTTATTGAGGAAGGCCGTATAGGCTTTATATTATTATCATGCTACTAAATAAGCGAGCAAAGCAGTAATATAATAAATAGTATAGTCTATCTATTCCATACTAACCGTTAAAATGTACATAGGACGAACCCGAGCGAAGCGAGGGTGAATCGTTACTTAAGTTATAAGAGTTCCCAGAGTCACTATACTCTGAAGTGGTTAAAACTCAATCCACTCTCGTTTCCTATTATCACTAAATGTGTTTGTATACGAGATAAATCGTAGTAGTTTTAAGTTCTGTAGGACTCGGGAACTCAATTTCGACTTTACGAACATACATAGGTATACATCGAGCCTGTGCGAAATTATTGAGTAATTTAATTTAGTTTGAACTACATTAAACTTAATATTTTAATATTAAATTTAGAAATTCACCGCAAACTACCTGTTATATAGGGTTTCGTTTAAGGTACTATAAGCTTAACTATAATTAAATAATTAAAATTTGTTTTTGGTCAGATTTCATAAATTTATCTAATAAGTGGTATATATTATGAAAATATATTTTTTCTTAGATTTACGTGGATATTTGACACGGGAGAGACTCCCTCGTGACAATGTTTGTTGTAAAGCATTCGAAAGGTCGGGAACCAAAAATCATAATAGATCTGCGAATCCGTAAAGATATTTTTATTTTAAAATATATTTTGTTATAAATTAGCTATATTTTTAACTGACTTCAAAAAAGAAGGAGGTTCTCAATTCGTCGGAATCTTTTTTTGATTCAAAGGGTATACTCCCCAGGTGGCTTCATTTAAATTTTATCGAGATCGGTTGAGCAGTTTTTTTAAAAATAAACAATAATTTATTTTTACATAAAAGATTTTTTGGTTCCAAACAAGTTGGGAGGCATTTCTAAGAAAATGTTGCAAATGGTCACCGAATTTGAAGCGCTAAGAATTGACTTTATTTTTGATGGTGTGTAATAAATGCTATGCTAGCAGTCTTATAAATCATTTAATTAGTATCCAAGTATTATATATAAATATCAGCTTTTATACTATAACGTAAGTAGAATTATGATTTCATGAAAAGGGTGTCTGGCAAGGGTTTGCCACGATGTTAAGTGTCTGGCATTGAATGACGTGATTTTTAATAATATTCTGAAGGTAATACCAAAAAATCACACTTTATTATTCGACGAATTTAGATCGGTATTTTACACACCTTTAGTACCGTGTACCTGCGAAAGCCACCATAGCCTGAACTTCATAATGGTCCATCGTTCTTATCTGTGTTGGGAGCATGCGCTGATAAACTTTCAGCCTTTATAAAATGACGAAGGTCTGGCGTTCACAGGCTCTTCCTCTAACAGTTTAGATGTAATGATTTAAAGTTGGTTAACAACCACTCTCGTTAATTTTCCTACTTAGTTAGAAATACTTAAAAATAAAAATATATGCAACTTATATGTTTAAAACAAGTTCGTTGGTTTTAAATTAATTTTGGATAAAAAATCTATACATATAATAAAGTTATAACAAAGCCAAATCTGTACATTAAATATTTTTTGGAAAATCTTATTGAAATAGACATTATTATCGATACAGAGGCCGAATCTATAGTTTTTAGAATTATTATCTGTCTGTTACCGCATCACAGAAAAACCACTGGAGGGATTTTGATGAAATTTGGTATGGTGATAGCTGGTTTTCCCGGTCAACATATAGGATACTTTTTACTGCGGGAAAATATCTCATTTCTGAGAAAAAATACAAAAACTGCATTGTAAGAGTATACTAATATGTAAAACCTAAGAATTTGCTTTTTGGTCATCTGAACGCGGGCGGAGCCGCGGGCAATGCTAGTTGCTAAATATAACTTCAAATATATAAGTAATAAAATTAATACACTTTATTTTTTACTTTTTAGCCTGGAAGTCGGTTTTTATTTTTTATTTTTATAGAATACTATAATTCGGCATTGTAAGTTGTCTATGCGATCTACCTAAGTCATTATTTAGTGATAATGCGTGTGCCGATAGCCACACTCGCGTAGTTTCCATATGAATGAGTCTTATGAATTGCTATTTTGTTCCTTAAGAGTGCATCCAGGTAATTACGAAATAATTAGGTTCGTTTGATCCCTTGCTGTATTGTTATTACTAAAACTTTAATTATGCAATTAATATGTAGGATATTTAAGGATTTTTTCTATAAAGCATACACTTTAGAAACACGATTACTTGTAGTTTGCTCGATAGAAAAAAATCTAAATTGATCTCTAAAAAACAAAATAAACCCTTAGTGGTGCGTAAATAATACAAGGAAGTTCATCAATTTATTAACAATAACAAAACTATACGTTTTCTATATCTTATACTCATTACATTTTCAAAATGTGTATTTGTTTTAATAATACGAAGGAAATACCTAAATTAGTTTCGTGTACTGTAATTCCTCCTTAAAGTTTGCTTTACCGATGATGATGATGATGACCAATAAAGTATGATATACGATACGATCGAGATTTCCTATTATGATTTAAGCAATAAGCATTATCTTTCTACATCGTTAGTAAGAATATCTATGTGTAATTTTGCAAATGTAATAAATAAAATTTAAAAAAGGCAGTGGTAGCCCAGAGGTAACGCGCTCGCTTGGGAAACCGAGTGAAGCGAGTTCAAATTCCTTGTCTCGCACCTCTGATATTTTCATGTACAAATCATTTCCAACATGAACCACTTGTCTTAACGGTGAAGGAAAACATCGTGAGGAAACCTACATGTCTGAGAGAACTTAGTAAGTTTTCAAAAAACATGTGAAGTCCGCCAACCCGCACTTGGCCAACGTGGTGGCCTATGGCCTGATTCCCCTCATATTAAAGGGAGGCCCGTGCCCAGCAGTGGGATGTTAAAAAGGGCTGAATAAAATGAAGAATAATATTCTAAAATCGCAGTAGCGGAGATGCTGTTATAGGTAGTTTATGGAATATCCATCAACAAAACTACGTCTCAAAATCCATCTATCAATATATTGTGAATGAAGACATGAAAAGCAACTTTTACGAACACATTTTTTTACTACCAGCCTTTCCGCTCTTGCGGATTATAGGATTTACATGGATCATTTCCAAGACGTCAAATTAATTAAAAACTTAATACCAATTATCCATTGAACGTCTTAATCACCTCTATAGTAGTGGATATTTTAATTTTAATCTAAAATACATGACTCGAGTTCATTTAAAGAAGAAATATTAGTTACGTTAATGACTAAAACTATGAGCAATAATAAGTCTTTCTTAATTATTTTTTGACGTTTTTAAATATTTATACCTTTCCAGTTTATCAGAGATTAGCTGAACATTTTAACGCTTTCTATTGATGTTTATAATGTGTGTAGATGTTTTATAGATTGCGCTTGTTGATAATTCGACCAAGAGTGGTATTTGTATAGTCAGATACTTACAATATTTTCCCTGGTGTAAATTTGACCGCGTTAATTACTAAGATACTCGTAAACAGAGCCGGATTTAGG